TGCAGCCTTTCCCTTCCTTATTTCCTTTATAGTTCTTTCCACCTGAATTTGTAAAATACATGATTCTTTCTCGTCTGTATCTACTTCTTCTTCTGGTTCAACTTCTAAGGTTTCTGGCCGATTAGGACGATCATATAGTTCTGTAATATAATTTTCCCAAATTTTCAGCACTTGCCTCTGATCTACTATTCTATTCCCCTGGGAGTCTTCAATGCCAATATTTTGAATCCCATGATTCTCCTTCCATCCTAGTTATTTTGTCTTTATGTACATCAAATCATAACGTCCTGTTCTTTGAAATTCAATAATCTCATTACATATCTTCTCAAGATATTTCTTTTTGGCCCTGTCCGTGGCTCATTTAAATTCATTCCTCAGTCTCCTGTATTTCCTCCTGCTTTCTTCATTGTTGACAATCTTCCATTTCCTTTGCTCCTCCATTTTACTCATCATCCCCTGTGTAACACATGGTTTTCTTGCTATCTTCTAAACTTTACCAACCAAATCACTGATAGTATCTAACATGCATTCTTTTATATTGTTCCACTGCGCTTCAGCATTTCCGCTTTCACCTTCAGTTGCATTGAGTTTCTCTTCTAGGGTCTCCTGCATGCTTTGTCTTTGAGCATATAATTTCTTCAAATCCCATCTAGGTCTGCGCTTTTGAAATCTTATAATTTTCTTCAACCTGGGTCGAAACTTGGCAACCAGTAAGTTGTGGTCAGAGTCAATATCTGCCCCAAGCAGCGTTTTCACATCCTTCACACTGTTTCTAATACACAGAAGAGAATCTTAATGTAATTCTTATTTTGCATTATTCTCATAAGAAATCAGTAAAATGGACACCTGATTTGCTGGGTGATTTCAAGGCATCAGAAAAGGGAAGGTGAAGGACATTTCTCTTCTTAACCCCTTGAAATGGATGTAGACAGTACACTGAATGTTTCAGCATTTCCTAGTGCTGAGAAAGTGCACTTTGGACTTCAGCTATTGGACTTACAAAGCAAGGATTAATGGGCCTCCAAGTTTAAGAAGCTCATCACTGAAACTGAAAACCTGGAACAGCAGAAATCTGACTTTGTCACAAATTGACATGAAGAACAAGCATCAGCTTCTATTAGACGTGGACTCATTTACCAGGCTGCTATAACGAGTCAAAGAAATTTGCATTCTGACTTTGTCACAAATTGACATGAAGAACAAGCATCAGCTTCTATTAGACGTGGACTCATTTACCAGGCTGCTATAACGAGTCAAAGAAATTTGCATTGGTGCTTTTTCAGTCTTTGGGTTAACCTAACTTTACAAACAAGTGTTTCCAATTATGAACTACAGTAAAGCAAAAAGAAAAGAATTGTCAAGCGAAAGTTTGGATTCCTCTCTGAAAATGAAAGTAACATCTTATAATGATAATGTAGAAAAACCTGCAATGCAGCAGCATCAAAAATCTCATTAAGATTTTAAAGAATATCATTCAAAGGCAGTGCAACTGTAAAATTACATGATTTGCATGTAGTTTGCCTCATGAACAATGTATATGTCTTCATTGAAATAAATCTCTTGACATTTCTAATAACTTTTCTTCCACTAAGGTTCTGTGTCTGAGCTTGTGTGTGCGTGTGCAGTGTGTGTGCGCTCACACGCATGTGTGTGTGTGTGTGTACATGTGCGTGTGTGCGTACATGCATGCACATGTCTTGAATAGCAGAAGAAAATGTATGAATGGTTCTTTCCAGGGAGCAAAAAAAAAAAAACGGTTGCTGACCACTGCACTAGCAAAAGAACACAATACAGAAAGAAAGTAGAAGGGAAGTTCACATGATATTATACAATGGATATTTCACATTTGCAAAATCTGAACTGGACTGAACTTTGATGCTGTCAAGTTGCCTGAATGTGGTCCTAAAAGCTATGATTATGTAACAGTTTGAAGAATTGGCTGATGTTTTCTTTATTACATATCAGAATGAACCTGAGCAAGCATACTATGCACTTCTGCCTCAACGTTAGAATGTGAACTTTCTCCTCCTAGACAAGGCAGAGGCATAGAGGGTCAGTTTAAAGTATATTTATGGACCACCAGATAAAAATAGATTCAAAGTAAATCTGCAAGTATACTCAGTATAAAAAATAATGGGAAAAAATCATAACTAGTTATGAGAGAGGTGCAGGAAAATAAGCCCTCATATTATGTAAGATATTTTCAGATGTGTAATGTTATTACATTCACAGAGTCAATGGTTTTTCTGCTATCATGAAGTCTTCAGTTTGCCATACTCATTCTATTGCAGTTACACTGTATTCAGCAATGTAACCCTTCTTCTAAGAACAATGTAATGATGTCCTCCATAGCATAATACCCTCACTGTCTGTAAACTAAGAATTAGGCAAATTTACCAATGCATTTTTTATGTAACTTTGTGTACCTTCAATTCCAATCTACTTACGTTTCTTCAAGCACCTCAGGGCTCATGTAGCGTTTAGTACCAACTCTTGGGTTTGAACCCACATCCATTTCACCTGTTGCCTGAACATGTGTCACTGCCAAACCAAAGTCAGCAATCACACATGAACCATTCAGTTTCATCAAAATGTTCTTACTCTTGATGTCACGGTGAGCAATTGCTGGTTTTCCCTGTTACAGTAAAGTGCCACTCTCAAACATGCACACTGAAGTTTTAACACATTTAAAAATACTGACATGATATAACTTTATGTTACATAAAAAAGGAAAATGTGTGATTGAGAATTACCTTATTGGAAATGAATGTTTGGCTTAACAAGGTGCCAAATGCCATACCTTACATCAACTGAATTGAAATGAAGCAAAATACAAAAAGTATCTAGCAATGGTGAGCAGTACTATTTTAGTAAGGGAAGCAGTGGTATCTAATAAACGAACTGATAGCAATCAACTCACCAAAATTTATGTCACTTATTGAGTCAATAAGGTCGTTTTGTATTCTGTTCAATAAACGTGTAAATACTGTACTCTTCTCAAGGTGAACACTGAGTTTATGATCATATTTCCTCAACAAGTGAACTAAGTCCACATAATTACCTCAGTCAATACAATCCATGCTTTTGTCATGACCACGGAAGCCAAGTTGCCACTTTCCTAAATGGCAGATGATATTAATCAAGCGTTTCATTATTTCCTTATGTAGTACTGTCAGGTGCTTTTGACTGTCAAGTTGACAGTCAATTTGAGATTTCCCAAACATAACAAGTTGCATTGTTGAAATAATGTGAGTCTGAGGGTTCTCATGTCATTTCAATGCTTTATGAAGTTTTTTGATATCACCAAACTCAGTTTTGTTCCATAATTTATTTTTCCTTGAGAAACAATAGGCATGGCCAACAAAACAATTTTCTTATATTACGGCAACCGGATAGCCACTCTGTTTTAGAATACTGTTCCAAATTAAATTTCCTCACATATAATTTGGTTTGTGTTTTAAAGTTCTGGCACCCCTCATGTCAGTCGTCCTCTTTCTATAATTATTTTCTTTTCAGAAAAGTCCCTGCTATTAAACCCCGGTGTAAAAGGCTTTTGACTGCACAGTCACAGTCGCGTTGTCTGCCAGCATTCATTTTAGCTGTGGCCTGTGTGTGTGGTCTATTCACACCCCTGCCACTCTTACTGTAATATCAGACTTGCTTCCCTTAAACGCAGATAGCTTCTTTCTGATGCGTCAAAATACGATCAGAAATAAAATCTTACGCCATATAAATATGCACTTACAATATGTTATTAAAACTTAATGTTACCTATAACACCCAACAAGACTGATATCACACATAAACAGTTAATTTTCACATAACCATCGAAAGAACACATTCCTTCGCTTCCACATGACAGGCATTAGCCAGTAAACCGAAAGTTGCTTCCTTGCCCACTTTGTGTGAGATGAATTCTTATGGAGATTAACGAAGGAAACTTGGTCCATCCCACAAAGCAGGGTAAGGGAGCAGGAGGAGGTGGCATGTGGCCTTGAGCAGGAACGTGCGCTAAATCAGTGCTTCTCAACCTTCATGAGGCCGCGGCCCAATAAGTTCCTTTCTTATAAGACGAGGGCCCAGTCCCAACAAATTTACTCGTAAATATCTTTCCAGTTTTGTTAAAGTTCATGCATTAAGCTAATGTAATATTAGTAATTAATTATAGCATAATCATAAAGAGTATTAGTACACTTATGTATACGGTGTGGCATGTTGACAAACATAAAATTACATTTAAATTAGTTATCAATCACTGGACTAATGAAATCTTGTAGCATTTTGTACTTTCCTTAGACCAACATCATTAAATTAATTTGTGCTAATTTTCATTGACATGTCTCATGCTGATCACCAAAAACTTATGTTATTCTGTGTAAAATTGATTATTGTATTATTAAATTGATTTTAATGATGTTGGTTCGAAAAAGACGGCAGTGAGAAAAATATTTATGCATTGTAACTCACCATAGAAGTCAGCTGAGGAGGGGAAGAAGCTGAAGGATGTCAACTTGCCGACGAAACACTTATTATCATATACACAAGCCAAATAATTATATAGGTAAAGTATGTAATTTGATAAATAAAAATGTATGAATGTCTCAATTATAAACACTACTTCCAACACTAATTAATATTTTGATTTTAAAGACGCAGCACTTTAACACAGCACTTGTAAGTTATTGGAAAGTTAAACTTAGTTTCTTTTATCACAACTGAGTTTGGAAGGTTTTAGTTAGGCTAGTGAGACTTCTGTTTCTGTTTTACGTCCGTTAGCTTATTAATTCTGGGATGAATTGAAGTGAGAGCCAAACAGAGACAGTCAGAAAGTTGCAGGCAGTTCCTCTGTTTCGTTTTAAGCACAGTCATGGCAGAAAATGCAGTTTCACAAAGATATGTGGTGGAAAAACAAAGAAGAAACCTCACTGCTATTTTATGTAAATTTGGATATTCGTTCTTCATTCTTATCCAGAATTTCGAATTACTCATAGTATTAAAAGTACTTTCCAGTCCTTTGTCCAATGATAATTCAATAAGTTGAAAGGTTTCTTCATGGGAAAGGGCTGTCTCTTTGTGTTCAACAAAAGGGTTCACAATCCACATATTTTGCCTCTGGGGAGCGTCATGTTCAGGATAATATTTTTCAAATGACAACATCTTCAAGTGGGCTGCAATAATATTTGAAACTGAATTCTGTGAATAGAAACCATCTGCTTCCATAATATAATCTGAGTACAACTGAAACATTTCATTGTTTCCTTCTGCAGTCATATTAAGCCAGAGTCTGAGTTCCTTTTTGAATGATTCAATCTTGTTCCACACACTAAATATTGTTGTATCTGGACCTTGAAGTTTTAAATCAAAGTCAGTCATGTATGAAAATATGTCACTGAGATACGCCAGCCTGGCTACCCATTTCTTATCCTGGAAATAATTGGACAGGTTACTTTTCTTATCAATTAGAAAGAGCTCAACTTCCTTTTGGAGTTCATATAACCTCTTGAGAACTTTACCACGGGACAACAAATGAACTTCCGAATGGAAAAGATGATTTTGATGATCAGAGCCCATTTCATTGCACAATGCTTTTAACAGTCTTGTATTTAAAGCATTTTTTTTATATAATTAATAATCTTAACAGATTGACACAGGACTTCATTAAGCTCAGGTGCCTGGCCATTTGGAGGCCAGCTTTTGCCTGTGAATGTAGCAATGCACTGACGCTAACTTATTGCCCGCCATATCCCTAATTTTACTGACCAAACCTGAATTTTTACCTGTAAGACAGGCAGCGCCGTCAGTGCAAACTCCANGTGCAAACTCCAACGCAGTTTTTCCATTTGAGACCTCTCTCTTCAATGAAACCATTTAAAACTTCGAAAATTTCACTGCTGGTACTGTGCGTAGGTAATTCAGAAACACTTAAAATGTCTTCCTTCATGTCGCTCTCATCATGGTCAATATATCGTACATATGTAAGTAAAATGCTGCTGTTCTGAATATCTGTAGATTCATCCAGTTTTAATGCAAACAATTTCGATTTTTTATTTTTTCAATGACTTGCGTTTCTGTATCTTCCAAAATGTCTTCCTTCATGTCGCTCTCATCATGGTCAATATATCGTACATATGTAAGTAAAATGCTGCTGTTCTGAATATCTGTAGATTCATCCAGTTTTAATGCAAACAATTTCAATTTTTTATTTTTTCAATGACTTGCGTTTCTGTATCTTCTGCCATATCAGATTTCCGCCTACCAAGTGTATCATTCAACAATGGGGTGTCTTTCATTTTACTTGCCGCAGACTGGCCTAATACTTCATTACAAGCAGCAATCAAAGAAGGCTTAATGAGTTCTTCACCAATGGAATATGGTTTTTTACATTTAGCTATTTGTAGTGATATTAAATAGGATGCCGTCAGAAGTGAAGTGTCAGTGATTGAAGCTTGGTAAATAATTTTTTTTTCTACTTTAAGTGCATCTCTTTTACGCATAAAGAATTCAATGGGTTTGTTGACCAGATTGGAATGTCTTGTGTTGAGATGTCAGGTAAGTCGCGATGGCTTCATAGCTTCATTTCCCAGGACAGTAGCACAAATGACACATTGAGGACGTGGCAATTGGTCAGTGTTAGGGCATTGTATGAAACCAAATTTTATGCAGGTGTCCATGTACTTACAAACGGATGCAGACTTTTTCTTCTGTGTGCTGGTGGTTTTCCCTTCATTTTGTACATCCTGGAGATTGCTATGTAATCTTGAGGTGGGTGAATCACTACTTGTTGCGTCACAAAGACCTTCAATACGAGATTTCTTAACACCAAAATTAAACAAAGTCCCATCTCTTATTCATATTAAAATTTAAATCACTCTGGTTCCGGAACAAGCACTTACACACTGCAATGTGAACTTGTGAAGAAACAGTATTCAGTATTACTAGATTTGAGAACCAGATACAGACTGCCTTGATCTTCAGTTTCAGTGGAAACATTTTCTTTATACTTCCTTGCTGATTGGTCACCTATATTTGCAACACAGATGTTATTTCGCTCAGTTCTGAGAACAGAGGATATGCTGCCCATTGCTGTAATCGGCTTGCAGGCAATTTTATGACTGGTCATAAACATCGGTATTGCCTTTTCCTAATGTTGAAAGATATGGATGTCTGAAAATTCCCGATCATTCATGAATACTTCCATGTTTAAAAATATGTGGCTTGGTCACTGACATTTGCTACACAGATTTAGGTGTTCTGTGTCTCGGCTTCTCAACACAAATATTATTCTCCTCAGAATATTTCCACTATAAATATTTATTCACGAAAAGTGCTTAGAAAATGAGAATGACAAATTCCAGAAGAGCCTCTCGCGGCCCAGTATAATTGATGCCAGGGCCCACTACTTGGCCGCGGCCCAGCGGTTGAGAAGCACTACGCTAAATGACAATATTCAAATCCTTATTATTCAAATTGAATTATTTATATATGACTTCTTTCTTTTCGTTTCTTAACTACGGAAGCAATGCTTCCCTTGCTTCCATGCACGGCAAGCCACTGGAATCTAGTAAATTTTGTTTCCTAAATTGTTTCAAAACAAAATACAAGGTTGTAAGTTTTGAGGTTTTCACGGCGATGACA